AGGGTCCCAGCAAAGCTTGTCTGTTCAGATTTTTCTTGGCATCTCTATGTAGTCATTTTTTTCTTCCAAGTTTAGATAAGAATTCCTTTGGAATGAAGAATTTCAAGGGATAAAGGAAACAGTAAGTCTTATGGCTTGCTTCAGGGAGAAGATCCTAGTTTCTGAGACACTCCTTGGAGAAGAGGATCTTTGGTTTGTGTAACTGTGTTCATGGGAGAAAGGAGGGCTCCATGTCCTTTTGTTCAAAGTATTCGGCACTACCAGGCTTCCTTATACAGGGGTCTGAGTCTTGACTCATTATCATCAGTTTTTAGTTTTTGCTTATCTTTGTTGAAAAATAATTCCCAATCCCTTTACAGTTTAGAAACTTCGCCTTCAATCAACCCTTTATCTACCTGAACCCAATTTCTATAGTTAAGCAGCCAATGAGTGGCCCCATTTCCCTTGTCCATCCACCCACTGAGGGGTTGTTCCATGAAGCTGATCCTGATTTCAATAGTACTACTTTCTTCTTCTCCTTGAAAAGTTCTGTTTTTTTTTTTTTTATTGATAGTGTTCTCATGGAGTTCAGCCTGATAGAATCAATTCTCACTAATTTGTATATAATAGCCCTTCAACTGTATTTTTAAATAGGTTTCTTAAAAGCCAAACCTTAGAGAATTTCTAGGTTGTTATTTTAGGTACAGAATGAAATGGGAAAGAATGGCCAGGCAGAAAGGAAAGATTTTTAGAGAAGTAAAGGCCACTTGACTTCCTTTAGAATTGATTCTGAGTCCACTACTATGGTTGGACTTTTCCCCCTAACTGCTTCCTTTCATCTTCTGAAATCTCTAATGGAGAAATTCTCAATTTGGCTACATAACTAAATCTTCAGGAATCTTTGAACTTTGTAGAATCTGTGGCCACCCCAGAAATCTGAATTAATTAACCAATATGAGGTTAAAGATGTGTATTTTCAAAAGCTCCCCAGGTGATTGTTGCATCAGCAACTATTGTTCTAATAGTTCTCCTCTGAGGAACTGAGGTTTTCACTCACAGGAAAATGTCAAGTCAAAGCCAACCCTCTTTCACACATTAAAAAAAAAGGAATAACAAAAAACAACCATTCAAACCAGCCCTTAATAACTGACAACTTTAGAGGCCAATAGGGATGTGGGAAGAACTCAGAATCAACACATAAATCAATGTCTGGCCCTATGGACTTCACTGAGCAGAAGGCATTTCTTAGAGTCCAGAAGCATTAGACAATAAACTCCTAATCACAAAGGAAACTTCTTCCGGATTTTGCATGTATTTCCTTCCCTGATATGTCCCATGTTTAGCAAGATCCTTGGTCTCTGAGTAATATTAGACACTGTGTATTGAACTAATAACTCACTCGCATCTCAGTCTCTAGTTTACCTTCAAATACAATCGCATGTGTTATGTACGCATATGTAATTGTATGCAAATAGGACAAAAATATCAAAACTGTACCCCCAAATGCTCCTGAAAGGAAACCAATGTTTATCCTGCAGGTCACCTGACAGAGGATCTACATCATTCGGAGTCTCTGTAGCTAAGACCCCAAATTTGGCCTTGTCTCAGGACAGCTGCCAGGGGAGAAGGTAGGACCACAGAGCCGAGAAGCCTTTGGATTCTCCCCTCTGCTTCAAGCAGATGTTCAGTTCTATGGCAGACTGATTGCAAGGGAGGTAGCTGAAAGTACAATACTGCTCTGAGCAGATGTAGCTTGGCTGCACTAGTGCAAGCACAGCTGGGCCCCCGGCCTGGTGCTATGAGGAACAACCTGGCCAGCTTGTCCAGCTGTCTGGGAGCTCAGGGAACTAGCTCTGCACTTGCTACTCTGAGAGCCTGGCAGACCTCTGTCATTTTCCTAGGAGGCTTCCCAAGGATGGGTTCAGGAGACTCTACCAAGGCTGGTCTATTCTGGTAATAGTTCTTCATTGACACTTGTTCTTCCTCTATGTTGGTATTTTTGTTAAGAACTTTGATTCGGTCCTTTGAGACCTCTGCAGGCAATTGACCCCATCAGCTCTGCCCCCAGGCTCTAGGTTTCCCAGTTCTTGTCATCTGTTCTATGATCAAAGGATTCTCTGAGTGTGACTCTCCAGCTTAGTAATTTGCATACTGAAGACACAGAATTAGCTCTACATTCTATTAAAGGTGCTCTAAAGCAAATACTTATTATTTATATTGCTGCACACTGAAACCAATCAAGGAAATTTTATTTTTTAATTTGTTTGTTTGGATTGTTTGTTGTTGTTCTTGTTGTTAATGTAAATATAGTGGGGACTCCTGCAGGGGTTCTGATGGAATTCACTGGTAAAGATCTATATGCCATTATCTGTCAGAAGATGATAAAAACCCTTCCCTCAGCCTGGCATGTGAGGTCCCTGTGAGTCTTGAGCCTCTTCCTCCCTGCCTTGATTTCATCCTTCCCATTTCTCATTCCCATTTTTTGGTACAGAACTCTGTCACTTAAAATTCTTGCTCTATGAGATGCAAACTCTGGGTCAGTTTCCAAAAAGTACCTTCATTATTGCCTACTTCCTCCACAAAATGTTCTTGGGCTATTCACACAGCATTATTTGGGCCTCTTCCTCTGCTCCTATTTTCACTGTACCATCCAGAATTGTAACTGTTGTTATAGTTTGTTGGGTGATTCTCTCTCTGCCTCACCAAAGACTCTCAGAGAATTTTTTTAAAATTATTTCTACATGTGTCTTCCATTGAACTATGGCAAGATCATCCTGGAGATACACACTATGAGACGGGCACACTCATAATCTCTATACTGAAGCTACACTTACAATTCTTCTTATTAGTGGTAGTTTCATGACTGTCTCCTAAATCATATTGCACTCACTACTGTAATGAGTGCAGGCCTTAAGTATATTCACAGCAGGTCTTAAGTAAATTCATTGTTCCATTTTGCTGATGTGGGAAGGGAAGCAATGTGGAGGCAGCTCACCATATAGTCAGGCATGAAGCATCTATTGTCTATAATATCACAAAATGTGTAGCTCTTTGCTTTTGTCACTGACCAGTCTTTATGACCTAGTCAGTTAATATGGCTCTGTTTCCTTTGTCAAGGAATCAGGACAGGATTTTTGAGGAAATAATCGAAATGCTCATGAATAATTCCTGATGCAGTTACTCAGTGAGATAAGGATATCTGAGACAAAGGAACAGGAGAAAAAACAACCGTTATTGTACTCATTCAATGAGTACAAGTAAAAAGAAAAAGATGTACTTAATCTCTAACTTCTTAGCCAATGAACCAAATATATATTATCAAAAGGTTGAGCGTAACTAAAAAGCCTTTGTCTGATAAGGGAAGAATTCAGGCAAGACACAAATAGAGTAAAGGTAACAGGAGAGTTTACTAGAAGAAAAATATGACAAAAAAAAGCACATCACATAGATATACTACTGGAAGGTAGCACTTCAGCCCTTCTCAGACAGTGTTGGTCTTTTTCTTCATTACAGAGCATGGCTTTCTGATTTGGTGGATTCTCTTTCAGTTTACTACAAGATAATGATGCCAGAGATTTATTTCCTTGTATGTTTTGATTTCCTCATTCTTCTTAGATCCCAATTTTTAATTAATATGTTTTTAAAACAATTATCTTATTCTCTTTAAGTAGCTATACAAAGGTTACAACTCAGCATGCAAGTTTATGAGTACAATATTTTTTCAATGTCACCCCTTTCATCTTCTTCCCATGTTTCTCCCAACAATGCCATCTTTTCAATTTTCCTGGTTCTATTTTTACATATATACATTGAATATTATGAATGCATTCTCCAACTCTTTCTCATCCATCTATCTCCTTCTCCTTCTTACCCTACCTCAAGTATCAACTTGATAGTATTCTATAGATTGTTAGTTGTTTGAAATAGTTACACACTGGAATTCTCTCTTGCATACCCCATCCTGTAGTTAATATGTTCCTGTACATTCCTTATTTTTTTTGGAACCCCCTGCCTGCATTTGTTTGTCAGGCCGGATTTGGTTTATCAACTTACCTATCATCTGTGAGCTGCATAGGCCTGCATCTTTATCAACTAGTGTCATAATAAGCATTTTCCCTACCCTCACAATTCTCAGAGAATTTTTTAAATCTAATTTTGAATTATAATGTGTAGAGAGGATATATTAGAGCTTAGTGAAGATAGATAACTTATTCAGTGTCACCTAGTTATTTATGTGAATAGTTGGATTTGAACTACTCTAATCACTGCAACAGGATATTCCTTCTTCCTATTCCCAGTACAGCTTTGAAATCAAGCTTCCTGGGTACATTTTAAATGCAGTTTGCCAGGCTAGGATGCAATTCAGAGGGATAGAACTTGTCAAGCCCTGGTTTCTATCTCTAGCACTGTAAAGAAAAAGAAACACTTTACTAAAAACAAAACCTAAGTTGTTTGTAGAAAACTGTGAGGAAAAATTAATGTTATTAACTTATCCACACAAAGACAAAGTTACTACTTTTATTTTGAGGTTCTTTTTTAATCTGTATTTTCCTCTGCAACTATATAGCAACAGATGAGTTAATAATGAACATATCTTTGATATACAGTTTTGGATTTTCCACTTTTGTTTAAAGGTGCATATATCAGAAGTAGTTTAGACACTTAATATAAAAAATGGGAGTAGGGAGTGAAGAATAGAAGAAGGGAGTGAAGAATACAAGGAAGGAAGGAAGGAAGGAATGGAGGAAGGAAGAAGGGAATGGAGTAAGGGAGAGGAAGGAAGGCAGGAAGGAAGGAGAGAAGGAAGGAAGGAAGAAAGGAAGGAAGGAAGGAAAGAAGGAAGGAAGGAAGGAAAAACAGACTTAAGTAGTTAAGCAGAAAAGAAAATTTCCCCCTTGAAAAGCATCTGGGAGATCTGCTCTGAGGATACACAGATACAGAAGGCTGCAAAGTGAGCCCCAGCTCTTCACACCACCCCAAATCAATCACCTCTACACTTGCCCTTCCTGTCTCTTTTGCAGGCAGCAGCTTGAATGATGGTTTATGGCATTCAGTTAGCATCAACGCCAGAAGGAGCCGCATTACTCTCACTCTGGATAATGATTCAGCATCCCCAGCTCAGGACACCGCCCGGGTGCAGATTTATTCTGGAAATAGCTACTACTTTGGAGGTAAATTCCTAAGCCTCTGAGACTGTAAATAAAGAGAGTCAGAGGGTGAATGCAGTGGGTAATTATTCCTCCAGGATGAGTCTCATTATGTTGATTAGACATTCTCTCTATCCTACATGAATATACACACACATGCACATGTGCATTGTCATGCATACACATGAAGTAACTTGTAGTATACATTAAAACACACACACACACACACACATATATATATATTTACACATGTATATAGACCCACACACAAACAGGCCTCTACACACTGAAGCCCCAAATGGCGAGAAGCAAAATATCTCACAGCTGTAAAATATAAATTATCTAGGCCAGTGCTGAGAAGGGAAGAACTTGGACTACAAGAGCTGGTGTTATGTAACACATCCAAAGGAGATTTTTGTAGCTATGCCAAACTCTGAACATACTTGAAAGCAGAAACTCAGCTGAAAACTTGGAGAAAGCGAACCAAGAGTCAGCATTACCTGACAGGGAGAAAACTCAGGTGGTAAGAACAAGCAGCCTGCTCAGCCATGTAGGCAACTTTATGCACCTTGCCCCTATATTCCCTTCTTCCCCTACCTGGAGGCCATCTGTACCTAGGAGTGGAAATGAGAAGAAACTAGGAGGCTCCACAAGGGGATCGAAGTTCAGATTCTGCCCTCTGCAATGTTTGGTGAATCTTAGGAAGACTTTCAATGAGAAAATGTCAGGGCCAGGTTGTAAGGATGAAATTCACACAGTTAGACACTCACTACATGTTTATAAATGCACACACGTTTTATTTAGTATCTTAAAGGTATTTATTTTATTTGAGATGATACCATCTGTTTTCCCCATCAGTTGTTTGTATTAGAAAAACAACCTCTGAAGGGGCTTTAACCTTAAGGGCTTTCTGACTTTGAACTTTTCTTATAGTCCCTGAAATGCCTTTTGTGGAATAGGGGGAGAGAGGCTAAATCTCAGAATAAATCTCAGAATCAGTGGGTATGTGAATGTAAATGCAAATGAGGTCATGGTTTAAGAATAGGGGCTGAGCTACACTTCAGTGATATAGCACCTGCTCTAGGCATATGCAAGGCCTTATGTTCCATCCTCAGTAAACACACACACACACACACACACACACACACACACACACCATAAGTACAAAATGGTACCCTCCTACCCTCTTCACAGTGAACAAACTGGCTTCAGATCTTACAAATTTTAACATGAGTTAAAGTCTGCACTCTCTCTCTCTCTCTCTCTCTCCTTCCCTCCCTCCCTCCCTCCTTCTCTCTTTCTTTTTATGTTTTTTATTGTAAAAATAGTGTACAGAGGGGTTACAGTTACATCATGAGTAAGGTAATGAGTACATTTCGTATTGAGCATTGTTACCTCCTCCTTTGTTTTTCACCTAACAACCCTTCCCTCCCTACCTCCCCAACTCCCCCTCCCCCACAAATTGTAAAGTTTGTTTTCAACATAGTGTCTTGTTTCTCTCCTCCTCCTCATGCTCCTCCTCCTCCTCCTTGACCTCCTCCTTCTCCTCTTCTTCCTCTTCATCCTCCACCTCCTTCTCTACTTCTTCTCTTTCTAGGTATCACAAGGAAATCTGAGACTCACACAATATAAGTGCATACTCTACCATTTTGCTACATTCCAGGCCCTGTAATCTCTTAGCTGTAAACTCCAGAATTCACAAATCACACCTTTTCCAGCCAAGGCAGTAAAAGCTTTGAAATACTAAAATGTCATTGCACCATTGCACAGGTGTAGGAGAGGGAGGAGGGGAGATAGTCAGAGGGGCTTCCTGTGAAGGAAGCAATATGAAAAAAATGTCTTCATGATGAAAAAGGCTGTCATCTGTCATCACAAGTTCTTCTATGTATGAAAGGGTAACACATTCCTTTAGGAAGAGAATGAGCTTCCATTCACTATAAAGGTTTGATGTCTCTCAAAGTTGTGTAGCAACTTTGTTGATTGGGTGATAGTATTTAATAGATCAGACTGAGGTGAGGTTGGTGGAGATGACGCAGTCTGTTTAAGGCCACTGATCTGGAAGAATTCAGAGGATTTAAATCCTGATCTGTGTCCTCCATAAACTTCTAGTTAAAACAGACATAGGAAAACATGCAGAACAAGTGTCTCACATACCCAAAGGAATTCTTCACAGACTGACTCTGGATCACATCTGCTATTTCCACAACAGAGAAAGAGAGGTGATCTAGAATTTATTTCTGGGAAAAATGCTTTTGAATCATTGTGATATAATCAGCATGTGACATGACACAGAGGCAAAATGACTGGTCTCTCCTAGTTGAAAATATACTAAATTAGAGTTGGGTGTTCAAGTATGCTGGACTAAGGAGGTAAAGATTTATCGATGATTTGAACAGTTGTTTAAACAAACACCCTACATGTAGACTGTAAACTTAAGGAAGGTGAAAAATGACTTTCGGTAATAATAGTCAACTATCATAAATTCTCTCTACAGCTTCAATTAGAAGTTTTAGCATGTCTCTTCATTTTATAGTGTGCCTGTGAGTGGTTAAGCAGCTGCTGGCTTCTGCCCAGCCAATGACGGCCTATTAGAAATGGTTGAAATAATTCTCAATTATTTATAGATTTCTGCTCTGTTTTCTAGCTTGCACTCCCATATGCTCTGAACCTATTAAAACCTTTGAGATGGAGTTTGCAAAGAGCTCAAGCATTCCTATACCTGCCTTGCTCTACACCTGTGTTAATGAGCAGCAGATGTGATCTGTTGCAAGCTATTCTACATCAGTGCAATGCATTTTTTAAAAAAGAACTCTTTTAAATGGTATGGTGTTAACCTTTCATGTGCACTATTAAAGCTCTATAACTATGAGCACTTCAACCCTTGGTTCCTTTAATGTCTGGATTTGCTTTGCACAGCAGGTCAAAATTTCTGTTACATTATCATGTGTACCTTTCTCAGAAACTAAGCTATTAAGGCAAACAATTAACCAGTCAATTATTCTACTGCCATCCTTGCCTAAAGTATAAGTTCCCTGCAAAGTGTAATTTGAATTGAAGTGTGTATTAAAACCTGCATTCCAAGACAGAAATAAGAATCCCAGGAAGTTACCATCTACCACTTCCCTTGGATGAATGAATTCGATGCCAAAGACTTACAAAGTCTTTACCAACAGGAAAAAGTGAAGCTGAACAAGATAAATGTTAGAGTATTGGCATCCTCCTCGAGGATCAAGTGTCCCCATTCTGTGCCATTTCTTTTCTTTCCTGAGCACTTTCATATTTACAACAAAGTTGCATGAACTGCTGTGAGTGGAAAACATCAAAATAATTAGACCTCAAGATCTTCTATCAATAGATCACCAAAACAATGACTGATCATTTCAGTATTCTCCATCTTTTTTCTCTGTCCCACAGGGTGTCCCGACAATCTCACCGATTCCCAGTGTTTAAATCCCATTAAGGCTTTCCAAGGCTGCATGAGGCTCATCTTTATTGATAACCAGCCCAAGGATCTCATTTCAGTTCAGCAAGGTTCCCTGGGGAATTTTAGTGATTTACACATTGATCTGTGTAGCATCAAAGACAGGTAATTATTGTCTCTTCTCCTCTGTTCTCTCCCTCCCTTCCCTGTCTTCCCATTTTCACTGTTCTAAATATGAGTTTCTTTAAGCAAAATTCTAATCTGCTAACATTAGCCACATTAGACATAATTGAGCTGCCTAATGGAAAATATTTCTGAAAGGATTTCAGGCCCAGAGAAAAATGGCTTAAATTAGTTGAGTCTCTCTTCATGTTGACTCGAAGTAAATGGGATATGCAAATTAAATCAAAATACAAATTTGTGAAAAGGATTAAAATTTTATGTATAAACAACATCTGATTATGTTGAAGTTAAGAGTAAAACAAAAAGGAAGGAGGAATTACTTCTTTCCTAAAACATTTCATTCTTCACTGCAGTGGGGTCCTTTCCACACAAGCACAGAGCACTAGTTCCTTGGGACTGGCACAGTAAAGCTTTTGGTTTTACTAATCCCCATGCATAGTTTCTTTGCCCTGGAGGAGATAAACACCTGAATAGTGAGAACCAGCACTTTAAAACTACAGCCTACCCACAGAGCCAGCAAAAGCTCAGTTTCTCTCTTCATTTTTCCTGGGTTCTGGCTCCTCTTTTATTGGAAGTTTCTAGATTGGAAGATACTTTGTAGGAAGACAAAGAGAATGGATTATGAATTTACAGTAAGATTTTATACTGTTCTTTCTAAAGTTCTTACTTTGTTTAGGATCCTAATTCTGCTCATCTTGGTTATCACAGCATTGGACCAGTAAGTGGATACTATCTGTTCAGTGCTGGCCTATGTGTTGGCAATAAAGAATCTCTGCTCATGTTTCATCAGGAAATTAGTTAGCCATTACAATGAAGTATGATAAAAGAAGATCATCCTTACTGAGAAGACAAATGGCCACAGCCATTCAGTAATAGTCATAAGGTCAAAGGAGTTGTAACATTGATTTGAATCTTCCAATTTTTTAAAATTTAATTTTACTCTTGAATTAGCATACATTAATAATATGAGAGTTTCATTCTGATAATTTTGTGCATGCCTATAGGGTACTCTGAACAAGTTTACCTCCTCCAATTTGCCCTCCTATTCCAAACAGGGTTTGATAGGTTCATTAGGCTGTCTTCATCTATGTTTGTGTGTTCATATGTGTGTAAAACATACTTCAATTCTCTCCACACTTTAGTATTTTTTTCTTTCCTTCCCTTCCTGCTGATCCCCAAGAAGGCCTCTTCTTGGACCTTGTAGCAAGCATATGCCATATTTGGTTTTTTGAGCTTCAGTCACCTGAATCAACATGATGATCTTCATTTTCAACATGATGATCATCCATTTTCCTATAAATCACATAATTTTTATGAGTCAAATCTTCAAAACAGAGAGAAACAGGTTTGGTCAAGGTGTGAGCTGAGGACATGACAAGAATGTTGCATGATGAGAAGCAATGGAAACAGAAGAGAACATGGCTTACAAATATTTTACTATTCAAAGTGGTTTGTTTCTGCATTTTACAACTGATGATGTCTAATCATTTAGTTGGCAAAGTTTAATTGTCTTTCAGTAGTATAAAATTGGTGGTATGACTTAAAATTTATGGTGCCTTAAGTATAGCTCAGTAAGAAAGATAAGTTAGCATGAGTGCCTCTGATGGCTTGAACATACCTGGAGATCTAAACCAGGATTAATGATGAAAAACTGTGTTGGCACAATTTGGCTTCATTATCTATCGAAGAAAAGGAAAGTGATCAGATTTACCTAGAAGTTCTTAATATTGAGTAAGAAAAATGGGTTGAAATTGAAAGATTGTACTCTAGTGAAGGAACTCTCTCAGTCCAGAATCTAATGATGAAAAATGTCAGGTGCTTTGACTAAATGGCACAGAAATCAACTGTGTAGAACCTAGTTTCTACTGATGCTGGGAACAAGGGCTGTTATAATTGTGGGATTTCATACACATTTTTCTCTGCTGGAATTATCAACAAACCACCCAGACTTCCTAGCTCTTTTTCCTTACTTTGTTCTGTCTTATCATCTGGAAAAAAATGAGTAATAAATTATGCACAATATTAAAATGTGCCCGTTTGGAGATCTCAGAATAAAAGATATATCAGGGAATGACTACAACCCCTAAGAGTGAGGAGGAAACTTCCCATTTCATCAGCCAGCACCACCTTTTGATTAGTGTGTATCAATATAGGAACATTTATCAATAAGGGTTTATTTGATACCTTAATTTCCAATCAAGGAAGCTCTCATTATTTTTGATTACATGAAAGTCATTTGCCATCTACACTGTATCATCACTTTTGTGAAATTGTAGTCTTGTGTAATTACATTACATATAATCATGTTTCAGTTAATTGTATAATAAGGGATTGTGTTTAGTTTAGTGGGTAAATGCTATGTTTTTCTTGATTTGCCAGGCATGCACTTTAACAGGAGGGAAACCGGTGGCAGAAGGCTTTGTTTAGCTCATTGTCAACTGAACTTATAGTTCATATTTATTGAAGTGGGGTGAAGTTTAGAGGGACAGGTGTTTTCTGCTTTTCTGCTTTATGTTTAAAGTGTTTGTCAGTGGGAACCTGATTTTAGAGTAAGTGTGGAACTTGCCCTTGAGGAAGGTAGCACCGGTGAGGAGGGGAGAGAACGGCCAACTGTGCTTTACTGACCTTTGCTCAAGTCTGAAAATTCCACAGAGAACAGCTGGATGGTTTCCTCTCAGTCTCAGATTTTTTTTCTCTACCCTTTCCCTATGGACTATGGAGATGCCCGAGGCCTCCATCTTTGAGACAAAATTTTGAGTGAATGTTGGGAGTGTTTCTTCTAAAGGATTAATCGATTTGCCCATTACTGTGGCCTCTGAGATGGGATGGATGCGACAGAGGAAGTGTCTAGGCTTACAGGTCTGGCCGCATAAAAAAAGTTAGTTTTAGACAGCTAGTCCCAGGACAAGATGAGATTGGCATGGAGATTTCCAGCAGATTCCATGTCCTTCAATAGTCTTTCTAATCTCTGACATACCAGTGTGCTCTTCCTCTTCTGCATGCCCCACCACCAGCTTCATACTGAGGATGCATCAGAATCACCTGGAGAACTTATTAAAAGTGAACTCATAGTGAATGCTTTGCAAAGAAATAGAAGGATCTGGACAAAGTCACACTAACTGAAGTAAGTTAGGCCTAGAGAGACAAAGCATACATTCTTTTTCTCATATGTGGGAGCTAGAATTAATTTATAAATGTGTAAGTAAACACTTCTGGGTGCTATACAACTATACAAAAATGTATTCACTGAAATATGGTAGATTTAGGGAAGAACTCATATGATGTAATTCCTTAGAAAGGTTAACTCACAGACCAACAAATAAGCACTAGGAAATGGGTCCTGGAATGTAAGGGTCGAGTGAAGGGTGGGTAGACAAATGAAGAGAGAATGATAAGGAGAATGCAGTCATAAAAATAAGTGTATATCCTACAAAATGATGAAAATTGAGGGAATGCGTATGGTTGAGGGGGAACAGGTGACATCAATCCAGATGCATTGCATTCATAAACTGCTTTATTGAATGGCAACTCCTTTGCACAGTTACTTAAAGATAAAATATTTAAAAAGAATGCAGTCAGGCCTCTCCCCAAATCTATGAACCAGTCAGTATAATTGAATTTGCACGTGTAGTTACTTGTATTTGTAGTTCAGATGATGCTGGGTTATGGGTCTGTGGGCCACACATGGATAGCCAGTTGGTGGGTTTTTATAGGATGAAAGATAGTTAAATGAAGTAATATAGAGAGAATGTTTGCTCAGTAAAATTTGCATCAAATATATCCTTTCCTTTTCCAGCATCAAATAGAGCAAAAGTGATAAATAGAAAAGCAGAAGTGATCTTATTTTGATTTTGGCCTCATCCCATGCATGAAAGGGGAAGACCATATTGCAACATTTCTCACTTTAGATTGCAGAGCTTAAATTGTGTGGGCATTGGCCTGGTGATGGCATTCTGGCACCAACACCACAGCTTTCAGTTTCAGAGAAGAACGAAAACATATGTGTTACTCTGCAGTGGAACCTTTTGTATATTAACCACTGTTTTTAACACACTCCCACGGGTGGGGTGGGATTTTAGCAAGAGTCTGTATATAGGAAGTTATCCAACGCAATGCTTGAAAGCTCTCCAAACACCGAGAGAAAATGTGAGGCTCTGGACCAGAGAGCTAGCTGGATGTTTTAAAGAAAACTGAAAGGAAATGTTGAGGGTAAAGAGGAAGTGACGCTGGAGGGAGAATTTACATGTCATACCTTGTTTGACTACAGGAAATTGAATGCAGTAATCCACGTGTGATCCATAGTCTGTAAAAATCACTTGCTTGCCTTTTCAAACAATGAGACTAAAAAGATTCCTTACAGGGCAAAAGTGAAACCTAGGTAGATAGCTATGATGCTTCCTGGCTATGCAACCCTCTGCATTTTCATTTCTGCTTGTGCAGTATTAATCTCCAAAGATCGTCCCCATTAGCATCACCAGATGAGAGAATTTCACTGGGAATAGAAATTCATTGGAAATTCACTAGGAATGGGACATTTGACTATCTACTATCTTCTCAGAGTACTCTAAAGCCAGAGAGAATCAGTGTCTGTCAATTGTATGTTGTGGGTGATTTGTCATTCTCGTAATAATCATACCACCACCACTTATGCGCTGTTAGCTCTTTTTAAAAGAAAAGCCTGAATTGTGTTTAGTAAAGCCAGAAAGCTATTAATATTATAAAAGAAAAGGTATGTATGTTGGCAGTTCTAGCTAAGACCACACTGTCCTCCAACCAAAATTCTCCATTAAGTTAGCATATGTAAATCTGATTGTTTTCATTCATACCCACAATAGTTTTGCTTGTGGTAGGAGGCAAGGAGGCTTTAAGTCCAAACTGATTCTCTTGGCGTGAATTCAGTCTCCTTTGGAAAGGACACTGAGGAAGGTCTCTTGAAAGTTTTTGAAAATCCTAATGATATTAACCAGGAGCAAAGCCTAATT